CGCTTGCTATGTTGTTGTTTTTTTTTTTTTTGTGGTTGTGCGTCTTTTTTTTTGGGAAGAAGGAGAAGAAAACACAACAAAGCGCGGCGCCAGGATTGCACAGAGGAAGCGGCGATATGAAAGGCTGAACGGCATCAAAGCGGTTTCTGAGCAGGCAACAAAAGCTCCGCTGGAAAAAAAACAGCCTGATGATGAGTCATATTAAGCCAGAGAGTTAAAGCAGTTAAGTCAGTTAAAAAAAAAGAAGAAAAAAAAAGAAAAGAGCTGTCCGTGATCCTGCTTTTGTGCCTTGGAATTCCTCGCTGCGAACTTTGCCGCTAAATGCCGAGTCGGCATTCTTTCCCAATCGATCCCCAGCAGTATACCTGCATGTTTCTTTGTTTTTTTGTTGTTTTTTTGACTCCCAGATGCACAGCAAAAGAAAAAACTGGGATTCAGAGCCGTGTTTGTGCCTCAATGTGGCATCTGGGGGAGTTTTGTTGACGGTGTTGTGTCTTCTTGAGGGAGTTGTGCTTAGCTTTGCTGCCACCGTCTGGAGAGCTCAGCATCTTCTGCAGAACGACCAAACTACTAAATAGTTTCTTCCCCCTGGCCATCAGACTACTTAACGCCACATAACCCCCCCCCCATACACACACACACATGTATTTATTGATGTTTCGTTGCTAAAAAATATTACTCTGGTAGCCAAGTAAACGACATTTCGTTGTCAAATTCACCTCGTGTTTTTGTGCAATGACAATAAAGGAAGTCTAAGTCTAAGTGTAAGTCTAAGTCTAATCTCAGGCCTCTCATGAACCCCAGAAATTTAAGTTGACACAAATTTGAGTCTTTTTTTTTTCTCGGTTACCGAATTCTAAACTACAGTTGCTAGCCTGAACGTACTTTTTTATGGTCATTGATGGCAGCTCGTTTGAATTGACTAACTCGTGTTTTTTTTTACCTTCAGGAGCTCCGGGTTATCCCCTGTGCGCACAGATTTCATAAGAAGTGCGTCGACCCCTGGCTGCTGCAGCACCACACCTGTCCCCACTGCAGACACAACATCATCGGTGAGCTGCTGCCGCTTCTCTCACAAATCGTTTGTGGGATATGTTTATGTTTATGTTTATGCATTTGGCAGACGCTTTTATCCAAAGCGACTTACAGAGTAGACACAATATTACATTTTTCATCAGTATGACAATAAGCTATCCAGAGGAGAAACACTGATCAGAGTCTGTGGTGAGATAAAGATAGAGGTAGAGGGACTACAGAAGGAGCTGTGGGGGGGTAGAGGTACGGGTTAGGGTTAGGATAGGAGCTGTGGGGCGGTAGAGGTACGGGTTAGGGTTAGGATAGGAGCTGTGGGGGGTAGAGGTACGGGTTAGGGTTAGGATAGGAGCTGTGGGG